GCTACTTTCGTTTTAGAGCGTTTGTAGTTATTGTCAACTTGGTCAAGGATGAATTCTTTTGAAATCTACTTGTATTTACGATATTTGTTGACTTAAACACTATTCGAAGAGTTTCCATACCCCGGTAAGTTTATTTTATTAAATGTTTTGACAATTAAAGTTGAACTTTATCGACGTTCATTTCAATTGCAATTCATTTCCACATCACGGCATAAAGTATTCCTACGCTGTACATAAATAAAAGATTGTATGGAAGCTTCAAAGAAAAATAATTTTAATACTTCGTAATTAGAATTATAAGAATTAAACTCACAAACTTAGCATAAAAGTGCTTCGCATTTTATTCGGTTTGTGAGTACAAGGGCATGAGTTTACACGTCGATAAATTCTGAAAAAAAGAACGTTTAATCCTATAACAATTCCCATTTCTCTGATTGGCTGAGCTCCAACAATGTAATAAAATACAAAGTCATGTTCACCTGCATTTTGTTTATTTATTTATCTTTTTAACATTGGACTTAAAATAGAAAAAAATAGAAAAAAAAATCTGTAATCTTGAAAACTTTTGATTATTTTCCCGCGACTTTCACTTCTAGTGCCGGACGCTTGGCAAACGAACAGTTACTTCCTATATTTACGTCTTAGGATTCGCGGGGCGGCGAAAGAGAATTAAACCCAGGCCTCACAAATCAGGAGCACGAAGCGAACGCCAAGAAAATAAGCCAAAATTTTAGACTGGGGAGAGATAAGTCAAAATTTAGATTCGGAATATTTTGACTTTTATTTAATGAACATCTTTAAGAATTGTATATTACTCAATTACAAATGCATGATAACAATTTTGTACTATCTTCAAGATTATCTTTTAAAAAGGTAATACTTGTAGGAAATGTTCATTTCATCGAGTTTGTACTTGAGTATCATATATAATACGAGTACAACTTCTCAAACATGTTTGTCAAATAAAAGTCAAGTTATTTGAAATCTTCAAAATCTAATTTTCACAGAAGTCTGTTCTCAGTTCTTGGTCCTGGGTAATGTCAAATACCTGATTTGAATCCAGACACCCAAATATCGTAGGTGCCCTTATGTGCTGTCAGGTGATTATAAATGAAAAGTTAGTATCGTGTTGTAGATTATGAATAAATGATAGTTATCATGCTATAAATATTAACTTACCTCCACATTTACCTTTCCTGACTGCTATGCTTGTTTTTATTACTAAAATGTTTGAATCTAATTAAAAAAATGCTCATAAAACAAGATTTGAAATGAAATATCTACTGAGAGTCTTTTTTGATTGATTGATTGATTGTATGTTGTTTTACGTCCCATTCGAGAATTTTTCACTCATATAGAGACGTCACCATATACCGGTGAAGGGCTTCAAATTTTGACCTTTACTAGACACTCAGGGCCATGGAGCAGTGAGGGATCTTTAACGTGCCAACGCCTGCCGTGACACGGGGCCTCGGTTTTTAAGGTCTCATCCCAAGGACCCGCAACTTTCACTTCAAAGTGCCGAGCGCATGGCGAAGGAACAGTTGCTACCCATTTTTTTTTTATCGACTTAGGTCAGTCGCGGCCGAGATCCGAACTCACGACCTCCCGATTACGAAGCGAGCGCTCTACCGACTGAGCTACCGTGAACGGTGAGTCTTTTTTGAAGAGTACCATCTATACTCGCCTATAAGTCAGACCGCCTATACATGTAAGTTTTTTGTATTTTTCTTAACTTACATTGAAGAGATTTACTAATAATCCGCTTATAAATCGGAACAAGCTTTTGCCAAAATCGATTGACAATTTCAAATCAATTCTCTAATGATTTTACATTTGTTTCAAATAATATTTTGAAAAATGACGCCGAAATTGTATAATTACGACTTGCTCAATGTCAAAGCCATATCTGTTGTTTTTGAATTATAAATGTCACTTGATCTATTATTAACAATTATCATGATTAAGTTTTCATTCTTTTACGTATACAATTTTCGTCTTTTAATTACCAGTATCCCTTACCTGAAAACATGTATACCAAAAAAGAAAAAACAAAATTCTCTTACAAAGCGGATTTTCAGTAGAGTCAAGAAATATTCTAATTTATGTTTTAACAATATTTAATCTTTAATTTATCAAAACCTCTTTTAGACGGTACACATGAAAATTTCAATATTATTAATGTCAAAAATGTCAATCAGGCATTAAGTTGGGTTCTCAATTCAATATAAACGATAAACGATAGATTGACAATAAGTCAAAATTTACTGAAAGAATAAGTAACGTAAATAAGAAAATAAATAATGCACACTTAAGATAAAATAAGATTTATAAAATACATAGCTACTAGTATTTTATACATTCTTTTAGAATACATAAATAATATTATATATCCAGACTTTTGTTAATGATAATCATCGGAGTGGTTTCGCCGTCCAGAAAATGCACTCTTTTCAGGATTCGCATAAAAATTGGACAACGAATTTTAAAGTAAAATTTAACCCACCCATCCACTCCTAAGAAAAGGTACGTGAATGAAATTCAACAAAATATGTTTTCTTTCTACAGAATAAGCTTTAAAACTTACGGTTGATCTTCGAGAAAATTATAAAATGTTTCATCAAGCAATGTTAGGACTATGCAGCAAAACCGCAAAATACGACCTATTTCCATAGTAGGTCTAAAGAAACCAAGTCCTCTGATATGAACATCTATCATCCAATTATCAATTGAATTCACGATATCACTTAACTGTGCCGAAAGACAAGGCATAGTAAAAAGGCCGAAGTTCGGCCCCCTAGTTTGATATTAGAAAATAGATACACATTTCACTGGTGATAGTTTGCAATCAACAACATTAATGATTCTTGTTTTATAACCAGCATTTATTTTCTTTCAAAGCGTACACGGGGGTCACAAGAGGAAGACAAAGTTAAATATTTTACCAAATTTCCTCAATTCTGATGGAATGGCGTCATTTATAATTTATTCTTTTCCTTTGAAAACATAAAGCTCAAACTTGCCTATCCGAGCTTTTGGATACACAATATGCGTCTCATACTGATCCATGAAATATATAAAGTTTTTAACAGTGTTTTACAATTAATGAAAACTTGAACAAAATTAATGATATTCGTATTTTATCATATTCACCTTTCTGTGACATTGTGTATGACATCACTTAGAATCAATACCCATTTTATAAGAATGATGGGATAACAGTTATTTCTTTTTTTATAGAGAAGTATTGCATTTTTTAAGATAAATGCAATCAAGAAGTCAAAAGGGGCCTGAAATCATATGGATATTTTTCTTTGATGTAATTAGAAGGGCTAATCAAATAGATCGCTGGCTGAAGCCTAAAATTACAATCGACTAATGTACATCTATGAAGATTTCTACCTTTATTCAACATACAATTCTCTTTTTACAGAGTACTTGTGAACTATAAAATATACAATTTTACAAAGGTTAACAAAGTTAGATATTTTACTTAATTTCTCCAATTCTGGTGGCATTGCCCCATGTATATTTTTTTTCCTTTGAAACATATGCTTGATGTATGTTTTTGAAATTAGTATTTTACAACTGATGAAAAACTACAATTGGAATTAAGAATATTTTTATTTTCATCAAATTGACCTTCCTGTGACATTTTATTTGATATCACTTAGAATCAATACTCATTTTATAAGAAGGATGAAAACAGATTTTTTTTTATTGAGAAATATTACACCTTTTTTAAGATTCATCCAAACAAGGTGTCAGAAAAGGGTTTTAGCCTATCATCAAAGATATTGAATAAAGCTGTAACACTACATAAACAAACAAAAGAAAGTTTTTTTGAACTCAGTCATCATTTCTTTATTTGATTTTTACTTTTTGTTTCATGGTCCATAGTCAATTGTTGAGATTTTCAAGGTCGTAAAAATACATTTCGACGAAACATGCACGTTCAATATTTTTTTTACGTATGATTCAATAATAACGCAGCTATGTTAAGGCTTTTCGAAGGCTTAATATGCATTAAAATATACATTTTAATTTGAGCTAGATTTCAATTTCAATTTGTAATCTATGTATGAATTTACAGTCAACTTGTGACGAGAGTGTAATTAGGTATTATAATGATGCATTTTTGTGATGTTACATGACTTTGTTGATCACGTGACGGACACTTATAAATTCCTAAATGTTGCACAAAAATCGCATCGGCACAAGTGAAAAAAAAAACATTATTGAGAAAAAATTGTCACATAAGTCAATTCATCGTGATCTTTGGTACATATAAAGTGCTGGGGGCGAGACTGAATTTTATTTCCTGAGAAAATGTTCCACGAGAAATTTAACTTAGCCATACACAAAGGGACATTGTTTACTCTTTATCGCAATTTATACAAAATAGGATAAATTACATACACTCCCGCAGCAAAATTCAGTTAGAGGACATACTTCTCTTGTAAATTCCCACAGAATATCTTCAATCTATCCTTATTAATCACTAATGCCAGTCAAATATATACAGGATTTATAAATTCTAACTCTGTCCACAGACGTGTAAGGGGGTGTTTTTCACAGTAAATGTTTGATATTGTTTGAATACATGCATATCGGACAAGTTAAAGGAAGAACGATATTAAATTGCTAATGTTTATCATCATAACAGCACACGTGAGCTTAAAGATTAATCCAGACGCTTGGATCAAACAACAACGCTAAAAAATCTTTACATATCACGTGAAAGGAATGTAAAAGTTATGACACTTTCCCAGTTATGTCAGCTCAAGTTGCAGTGTCTTGACGTTATATGCTATTATGACGTCATTTCTAGGTAATTCAGAGAAGTTACTACAGTTGGAACAATTTGATATTTTACGGAGAGCCTTATCCTATCCGCGAATTTTATATATGTGTAATATACTGCAAAAGTTCAATTTTTACAACTGATTTTTTTTTGTAAAATAGATACGTGATTGAATTTTTGATAAAAATTATTTCAGATTGCTATATAACAACAAGTTAACTACCATTCAGGACAATGCCTTTAATGGAATGCCAAATTTACAGAAACTGTAATTTTTTGAACATTTTTTTCATGTGTCAGATTTTAAAAAAAGTTATTTATTAGCAAATTCACCAAAGATCACGATGAATTGACTTATGTGACAATTTTTTCTCAATAATGTTTTTTTTTCACTTGTGCCGATGCGATTTTTGTGCAACATTTAGGAATTTATAAGTGTCCGTCATGATCAACAAAGTCAAGTAACATCACAAAAATGCATCATTATAATACCTAATTACACTCTCGTCACAAGTTGACTGCAAATTCATACATAGATTACAAATTGAAATTGAAATCTAGCTCAAATTAAAATGTATATTTTTAAGCATATTAAGCCTTCGGACAACCTTAACATAGCTGCGTTATTATTGAATCATACGTAAAAAAATATTGAACGTGCATGTTTCGTCGAAATGTATTTTTACGACCTTGAAAATCTCAACAATTGACTATGGACCATGAAACAAAAAGTAAAAATCAAGAAAAGAAATAATGACTGAGTTCAAAAAAACTTTCTTTTGTTTATTTATGTAGTGTTACAGCTTTATTCAATATCTTTGATGTTAGGCTAAAACCCTTTTCTGACACCTTGTTTGGATGAATCTTAAAAAAGGTGTAATATTTCTCAATAAAAAAATCTGTTTTCACCCTTCTTATAAAATGAGTATTGATTCTAAGTGATATCAAATACAATGTCACAGGAAGGTCAATTTGATGAAAATAAAAATATTCTTAATTCCAATTGTAGTTTTTCATCAGTTGTAAAATACTAATTTCAAAAACATACATCAAGCATATGTTTCAAAGGGAAAAAAATATATACATGGGGCAATGCCACCAGAATTGGAGAAATTAAGTAAAATATCTAACTTTGTAAACCTTTGTAAAATTGTATATTTTATAGCTCACAAGTACTCTGTAAAAAGAGAATTGTATGTTGAATAAAGGTAGAAATCTTCATAGATGTACATTAGTCGATTGTAAATTTAGGCTTCAGCTAGCGATCTATTTGATTAGCCCTTCTAATTACAGAAGATTTGGGAAGAGCAATATATTGACCTTGGGAGCACCACCTTTTAACAATCTTGTATCGACCACCAAAAATAATGGGTACACATTTAAATTATGGTAGAACTCTTAACATTTCAGTAGCACCCAAAAAGACAGAACAAACAATTAACACTATATTTCAATGGAACACAGCAATTTTGCATTTGATTGCTGTCTATACTGAAAAATTCCCGAATGAAACATTCAGAGACATTTCCTGATATGGCATCATCTATAAGTATATCTTGCCAAACTTTCGATAAACAAATTAGGATGTATAGGCAGGTTTTGGGTACGTCTTGGGGAAAGGTTAGTGTGTAATTTGTGTTTAAGGCACAGAGATCCGGAGAGGAAACTACAGAGTCTCCCCCTTTTGATCAAAGTTTGGACAAAGACTGAAAAAAAAAAATTAAAATTAAAATAAAAAAAAAAAAGAATCTCCAGAGAAATTTGCTGGCCATGTAATAGGAAAGGGGTATGCAAGTTTGAAAACTGCAAATTTCAGTGCATTTGTGCAGAGTGTTGGATCAGATTGCAAAGCACAAACGATTGACATTATCCCGCAGGTAAGGCAGTTATGTTTTGACCCATATTATCCCCAATGTCCTACAATATATATTTGAGGCTTTGATGTCATTATTTATGATTATTGGTTTCAGAATTTATGTATGGATTTGATTTACAATATCAGGGTGCTAGATCTTTCAAATCATTTGAGGATGGCATGTCTGCTTTACACAACCCAGTCATTGTTTGCACCAAGCTACAGAAAGAGCTAATGCTCATAAAATTGCTGGGCATTTTTTCTTTCATCCCCCTTTGAAACATTCAAATTTCCCCAATTGGTATTGTGCCAAAGAAAGAACACAATCAATTTAGACTCAAACACTGCTAATCTTTATATATATATATATATATATATATATATATAAATATATATATATATATATATATATATATATATATATATATATATATATATATATATATATATATATATATATATATATATATATATATATATATATATATATATATATATATATATATATATATATATATATATATATAAAGCAATGATAATGTTCTGGATATATTGTGGATCATGCTGTAAATATTATTGTTTCAATGGAGAAAGATTGCCTTTTTGCCAAAACAGATGCTAAATAATCAGCTTTTCATATAATACCCATTCACAAAGAGGATCATGAACTATTGGGCTTTCTATGGGAGAGTCTTATTCTCTGATAAGTTTTACACTTGGGTTGTCAAGTTCTTGTGCTATTTTTTGAAATTTTTTCCATGGACTTATAATGGATTGGAAAAGTCAAGGGACATATTTTCTTTATTGCTCATGTGTTGGATGATTTTTTTTTTATTTATTGATCCACTGGCATCAGGTATATATAATAAAAGTTTTCAAGTTTTTAAACTTCTCTGTGAAACTCTAGATGTATGAAAAACTCTTGGGCAGCTACAAAGTTGGTATTTCTTGAAACTGAATTTGACACATTGGCAATGGAAATTTCGTTGCCATCCAAGAAATGGAAATCCTAAATTTTCCATGTTGGTGGTTGTGCGAGGGTATACATTCTTAAGACAGCCTATTGACCTAACAAAATGCCTTTCAAAACCTCACCAACACAAGGACATGGTCAGAGAGAGTAGATAGGATTTGGGTTCATGGTCATTATTTATAGATCAATGAGAAGTCATTATTATTTGAACATATACAGGTTACTTCAAAACAAATGCAGCTTGGTCTTCAGGGCTCAAAGTTATTGTCTGTAAAAGAAAAAGAATTTATATAGTTCTATGGGTCTTGGCCAAAAAGAAAAAAAAATCTGATGGATTACAATATTACCCTCAGGAATTAATCCCAGTTGTTTTAGCTGTTGAGTTATGGGACTTTCATTTAAAGAATTCATGTGTCATATTCCATTCTGATGGCGCAGCTGTTGTTTGTTTGCATATTGTAAACTTACAAACATTGGAAAATTCACCAACATGATTAATTTTGGCTTTTATGACACATCCCAGGAATGTAAAAAATTTACCAGATTTACATTCATGCTTAAGAACAAGATATTCAAAGAATTGCTTGTGGATATTTAAGCATACCAATCTATCTTTTACAACTCTCCAAACAAAGCCTGTATTTTGTTAGCTCCTAACCCAAAGAAGTGTACAGGCATGCTCTTAATTGTTTTAAGGGTTTTATTCAGAAGTATTAAGAGATCAACTGCATTAAAGTGGTCTTCCTGGGACATGTTATGTCTTGTGTCTTACATGTACCTATTCAATTTAGGAAAATCACCAAGATCTATCTCACCTGGCAGCATGGACATACTGTTTTTAAATGCCAAACACCCCAGATCTTTTACACCAATTGTTTATTAGGAAAATGTTAAGTGGGACAAAACAGCTTGCCAGGTCAGCTTATGTGTGACAAACTATTATTTTGGATATTCTAAAAAAAAAAAAACAACAAACAAACATTAGTTGCAATACCATAGGCAGCCAATTCTAAGTAACAGGCATGTTTGTACATGGTTATGTTCCTTTCAGTATTTTATGCTTTGCTGAGAGTAAAGGAAATTGTGGTTTATTCAGATCAAGCCCAAACTTGCTGCTTTGAAGAAATATTTCTTTTCAGGCATGACTAAAACGAGTCTTTGATACAATTTAGGTAAAATAGAGTCTATTTAGAAATAAATTCCCAACCCAATTGCAGCTTTGGTGCAGGGCAAGCTATGTGAAGTTAGTTGGAAAGGACCCCTTTGTTTTTGCTACAGCAACAACTGTGGCACATTACAGGGTTTTTAACATTCACAAAATACACATGGGATGGTTGCATCTGGTGTCATTCCAGAGATACATTAGGGTCGCAATATTCCCAGCCTTTTATTTAGAACATAGACGTTTTCATTTAAGGTGGCAGAAAGTCCGATTGTAAAAGAAAAATGGCTGAGAAAGTATCCTTTATTCTGATTCTGTATTATTTAAATGTAGTCTAATGAAGGGGATTCTGTCTGAGGCGGTATCCTCTATTTTTCTGCTTCCTTTTTAGAATTAGAGTCCTAATATAATAATCTCATAAACATGTATGCTTGTTTTGATGTCAATTTCATGCTGTAAATATCAGGAATAATGCATTAGAGAGCTTGACATTGCTTAATTTATATGTCTTTACTATATACTACACTTACATACATGTACACGAAGTATTCGGTGACTATCTGAGGTGGCACCGAAAAAAATCGTTGTTGAGTATGATATTGAGGATTTGTATTAATATTTCATATCACTTTGAAATATTTAAATGCTTTTGTCAAGATATGTAATATTTCTGTCCTGGTGCGTAAGTTAATGACTTTCGAGTTGTGTATGGACGGAAGAACTATAACGCACTAAGCATAGTGTGTTAATTTGTGAGAACTAATGATATGTGCATGAACATTTGGAACATTTCCATTATCCCTCCAGTGCGTAACAGGCTGTGCAGATTCATGTTACATGATGTTTTGATGTTTTGATGACGGACAAGAAAAAGAAATCGTTCTTCTGAATATGTCATTGTTGTACGTAGCAGGACAAAACAAGGAGTGAATGTAGCATAGAAATAGAATTTCATTATGACTGTAAATAATGTTTCAATGCTGTGTAGCTGGATACTTTAGTAATATTTAAGTTGTAATGCGTATTGTGTAAAATCCATATGAGACACATTTTTATCAACAACCTTTGAATTATTAATTTTGAAAACTGAATCATTTATCGTCCATCTTTAGAATTCCATTGATCTCTATTGTGAATAGTTTTGTTAGTATTTACATCATTATCACGCTGTATACATTAAGTAATTGAAGCACATTTTTGGGTGGGGCGAGGGACCCTTCTCTGTAAGTTCATTGTCCCTCTTGAGGGAAATTTTTTGGGCCCCACCTTCTGCTGCAT